GGGGAGGATCTCTCGAAGCAGACCTAAGTGGAACTGGAACGGCGTGACTAAGTCTAAGCTAAAATTTAACCAAGATGATTTCTTTCGCCCCGCGTGTTGAGATATGTTTGTAAATTACGAGATGGAATTTGATTTACTCTTCAGTGATGCCTGTTGACGTTGTTGGTCACGATCCGTCCGCATTAAATTGACACAATTTTAATTTATCGTTCAAATTTATTTTTCACTTTGTAATTTTTTAAACACTATTCCACGAAAATAAAATAAACTTTTATCATAAGTGAAATAATAAAATTTATGTTAAAAGTTTTGTAATTGGCGTGATCTTGTACCGGATTTGTCCGGCTTTTAAATTTAAGTTGTACATTGACATCAAAGTTCAAACTTTATTTAAAATATTTATTTATGAATATTAAAAATCGAATAAAAATGCGATTAGGGTAAAGAAAGAGATATAAAATAATTAAATGATAATAATAATTGGGTAGGCCCGAAAAAAAATTACCCACGACCAACAGTTCCTTTAAGTTTTATTGTATAAAAAAAAAAAAAAATTGTAACGCATTTTAAGAAATTTTATATTAAGCTACTATACTACTACTAATTTTTAGTGTTTTAAACTCACCTTTGATTTTTATTTTAATAAATCTTTTAATTTTTTTTTTATTTTGTTAAGTTGTAAAATATGTTTTTTTATTTTTATTTGAAATTTTAAAAAATTTGATTTGTATATTATTGAAAAAAGAAGTAGTCTAATCATCTTGCTTTTTTTATATTATCCCAAAACTCATGCAGCTCATGTGACATCATATATTGGAAAATAGCATCAAAGTGTTATGAGCATCTTATCATTAACACTGTTAATTTTTTTTTTTTTTAAATTTCTTCTCCTTCATTAAGGGTCCACGATCAATGTATTGATCATTCAAGCTCTTATGTATGCAGAGGGGATTTAAAATGTTTCTGTACCTGGTATTGAAGAGGATATTTCACTGGTTTCAAGGACTATTCAGCGAGGGAGTTGGAAGGCCTGAGGCAATAGACGCAAACTTGTCAAGTGCTGTCGCCTCAACTGTTCCTTTTGAAAGTTTGTTCCAGTCCTTGATTGTCTTTGGCAGGAATGAGCACTTCCTGTACCGTGTTCTTGCTGTTATGAGCTGGATCTGCCTGTCATGACCTCGTCGCTGTACTGTATTTGGGTGTGGGGGGGGGGGGTGGGGAGTTACTGTTTACTGCTGGAGAAGTGGACCAGCCCATTTTTTAAAATCATGGATAGCGTGGATAATCGCCTTCGTTCCTCCAATTGCGACCATCCCAGTGTTTCTAGCATGCTGCTGTTACGCCCCCTATTGTGTACAGTGACTTTGAACAAGCTCGTGGTCTAGTGTGTTGACTGGTGGAGAGAGGAGACCTTGGTCTTGAGGCTTAGCTCCCAGCAATGAATAATCTTCCCGTGCGAGTGATTTGGTAGATCTTTCTTCGCCACGAGGCGGAATTGGGGTCAACTTTTTGTTTTGTTTAACACAAGTGACTTGAGGATCACCAGGTTGTGGATGTACGTGAATCTAATTTGCTAAGTACTAGATAGGGACATCCAAATTTCATGTCCCAGCAATAGTAATTCCAGTAACTTAGACTTGTGATAGTTAATAGCATGGTTTATATTATTGTAAGATTTAGATATTGTTAGATATTTATTCATTTTTTCATATGTAGATTTTATGTAACTTTGTACACATTATATTCCATGTAATAAAGTAGGCCTACATTTATTTATTTATTTATTTATTTAGGCATTTTTTATATAGCGCTTATCATAAAGCTCTAAGCGCTTTACAATTATTAAAACATGTAAACTAAGTAAATACAAATGAGACACTAGGATAGTAACTACTATTCTATAGAAACAATGAAAATGGCTATATGCGGACCTAAACAGATGAGTTTTAAGGGACTTTTTGAAAATGGACGAGGTTTCACTATGACGTATATGGAAGGGGAGCTGGTTCCAGAACGTGGGCCCATGGAAGCAGAAGGAGCGTTCACCGATGGTCTTATATAGATCACTGATTGTCTTTATTTTAGCCAATAGTAATAGTGTGTCTAAAATCTACCTGTGTTAGTCCCCTTTTCAAATCCCCTAGACCAGCGTTCCCCAAACGGTGATCTGTGGACCGGCACCGGTCCGCAAGCCTTACGTTTCCAGTCCAGAGAGCATGAATATTGATGTTTAAATAGAAAGAAAATGTAATTAATAAATCTGGCACAGGTCCCTGGTGCAGTTTCGAACTTATCCACTGGTCCGTGAAACTTAAAAGTCTGGGAAAGGCTGCCCTAGACCACAAGCTTGTTCAAATTCACTGAACACAATAGGGGGCGTAACACTGCCAATACTAGAGGTTTTCCTGTAGCGTTTCAGGACAAAGCGTGCTGCTCGTCACTGGACCGCCTCCAACCTATCGATGCTTTTCTGGGTGAATGGGTCTAAGACTAGTGTGACCAAACGTCCCGTTAAAACGGGATTGTCCCGTTTTTCCACGATAGTTCCCGGTGTCCCAAAAAGTTTCTCGGGACACCGAAATGTCCCGTTTCTAAAACCAAACATATAATTTTCATATCACTAAAACTTCTTAATTTATAATATAACTTCAAGTAATATTTTGGCTAGCTGTGTAGTCAGTGCCAGTGTTGTGGGCTCGCGTGATGGCTGCACTGTTCACTCTCCGCCACTCGCTCCATCTCTCCCTCGCTTTCTTTCTCTATCTCCTTCTCTCTCCCTCCCTCTATCCCCACTCTCGCTCCCCCCTCTCTCTCATGAGGAGGTATAGGTCCCTATAGGAAGTGATACAGGAGCAGGTGCGGGAAGAGCACATATAATAGATTTAGGTAGCGGTACAGGAAGAGGTGTAGGTATAGGAAGATAGAGAGAGAGGGAGAGATACACACAAGCACAAAACAACATAAAGAAATGGGATTTCCTCAGTCTAACGTTTTAACCATGCGGCCAGCCAGCTTCATATGTCAGGATAAGCTTGTTTTCCAAATAATCCCGACTGGGTGTGTTTGTGCTGGTCACGATCGCACTAATTGTAAAGTTTGCCATGACCTTGTGGTCGCTTCTATTGAAGCATTTAGAGACAGGACACGGTTTATCTTGCGAACTATTACGTAGGTGTTCAGTACATCTGTCAGAGAGTCGGCGTCCTGTTTCCCGTATGTACGACATCAGGCAGCGGGTGCAAACAATGACGTAGACAAAATTGCGGCTAGTACAAAGGAAACCGTCTTTTATGTGAAAACTGCCTTTCAGGAATTTTATGTGTTGAGTCTGGGCGACAAAAGGGCAAGTGTTGCAACGGCTGCGTCCACATGGCTTGGTCCCAAAGTGGGTGGGGCAGAGTTGATCCGACTGCGCACAAGGAGGTCTCTCAGATTTTTCAATGAGAGGCCGGGAAGAGAAAAGGTCACGTGTGTCAGCGTCGGCGAGGAGTATGGCACAGGTTTTAATGAAAAGACATTTGACTATTAGATTATGAGGATGATAAGTGAGATTAAGTTTGGTCCTGTCAACATTGTTGCTTGGACGTGACCTGAAGGCATCAGCACGGGTAATATTCTTAACCTCTTGAAAGACTGATGAAAGTACTGGATCCGGGTAGGACCTGCATCGGAAAAAAGACGATCTCAAGTGCTTTTTCCGAAACGTCATCCTCCGATTGACAAAGTGATTGAGAAAAAGGAATAGAGTCTTTACAGGATTTAGGGTGGGAGGAAGAGTAAATTAGATAGCTGTGGCTGTCAGAAGGTTTCAAGTAGGCGGAGGTGAGTAGGCCGTCTATATGAAGGGTGACAGTAATGTCCAAAAGTTGACCGAGGTCTTAGAGACAAGAGATGTCAATTCAATAGAAGGGTGAAAGCAGCCTACCAAGTTAATGAATTGGCCAAGTTCACTCCTCTCCACAGTGGTGACCCCAATACCGTCATCAATGTACCTCAAATGTCCCATGAAAAGACATGCTTAGATGGGTCCCATTTAAGTCCCCATAGAAACACCACTGATTTGGTCGAAGAATTGGCCACCACACCCAAAAGAATTGAGGATGAGGACCAGTCAAGCCATTCGGAGGAGGGTGTTGGTGGGTATAGATGGATGAGGTTTAGTCTCAGTGAGGTTTGATCTTTTTATAATATGATTGAAAGAAAAAAAATCGGAGAAGAGATTAATTTCCCATAAGAGGTGATGGGAAATTGGGTTTCGAGAGCGAATTAAGTCAGTAAGTCTATTTACCATTGCATTTTAATTCTGCGGGAAGCAGAGGGTAGGGGAAAAGCTGAAAATAGTGAAAAAGACAAAACAAAAAAAGCGAATGCGCCAGCAACAAGCATTCCCTTTCTTTGAAGAGTACACAGAATATTAAAAAAAAGTAAGAATAAAATTTAGCTTAGGTACCGGTAGTGTCCCAGAGAACTGCAAGAGAATGATAGTAACTCCAGAGTAGTTAAGAAAATATATTAATCTATGAATTACACTGTGATCGGTTGTGAGTAGTAAGTGCCGGGGAAAAGTTGGCAATTAAAAGTAAACATGACGTTCATGCCATGTGACGTAAGTGCCCCAAAAGGGTGTATAATATTACTGTTAATTTCTTTACCTGTACTTTATATTCCTTACATTAGTTACATTCCTGAACCATTGTCTTCAACACTATCCATATCTCCTCCTTACCCAACTTCTCCCATAAAAATGTGTGCGTAAAGAACAGGCCGGTCAATAATTTTCATAGCAATGCCTACACCCCAAGAGTGAGTTCAAACCAACACTTATTGTGACTCTTGTAAGTCATTAAAACATTTGATGAAAATAAAAGGTAAGATTCATATCTGAACCAACAGCCTGAGTCTCAAGGTAACGTTTCAATAAAAAACTGTAGTTGAATTTATTCTGGCCATGAAAGGTTTTCCTTGCTTTCTACACAATACGATTTGAACAAAACAAGCAGTATCTTTTAAAATTTATTTATCACTATTAATTGCAACAACAAAAATCTTAATGATATAAGTTAATATAACCAGGAAAAATGGAACATGAATAAAATATGCTAGTTTTAGTGAACACAAATATTTTAAAAAATATGAAGACTAGCACATCTAAAGGTGATTTGAAATATATTGCCACATGACAATAAGCATTAAGTAATTATCTACAAAATTCTTGATTTAGGAGTTCACAATTTTATGATTGAAATTTAAATGAAACAGATTCAATAATATATTCAGTTTAATTTAAGGCAGCAATATCATAGAAGTGATCTAAGACAATCAATTCTACAATTAATGGATGGGAGATGTCCTTCAAAACAGAACAATAAAATCAATTTGACCAATTAAAATAAGGTAATACTGTATATTTATCACCATAACACCCAAAAACTATTAAAAATAATGCATCCATTAAGATTTAGTAGGATTTCTTCCTCTACTCACTACTAGTACACATTAGATTTAATTAATTGCACTTGCATTGTTTACAGTTATTCATGAACTTACCAAACAAATTTTCATGTATCAAAGAAAACTTAGGCAAAATTTAGAAAAAAACAATGCTTAGCTTGATTACAAAATCTGCATCAGAAACATAAATGCATTTAATTGAATAAATTTGGCTAATTTCAGTTTCGTGCCAGAGCTCTTTGAACCTCCTGGATATAGCGCTCATCATTTTTTGGTTTCCGAAGTGGTCCATTCAGGTATCCGCTTATGCTGGGAATATTTGTAGTAGTTTCCCAAAGTTTCTGAAAAACAAAACAAATTGCATTTAGGTTATACACAAAGTACAACTAGTCTAATAACTGCTGTATACCCAACAAATTTTTTTTTTTTTATTCAACATTATGATTTATTGGCCCTTTAAAAAAGCAAAATTAACTAAATTAACAGAAATCTATTATTTTTAAATTTAATTTTTTTTTTGTATTTAAAGTTCTAATTTTATTTTATTAAAAAAAATTGATTTAAAAAATGATTTGAGTTACATTGGTTTAAGTCTCAGAAGATTGAGAAGTTTTAACATCTTTTATCAGATTTGTAGTAATTGTGTTATGTACGGTCTGAATATGAAAAGTAATAACATTTATAAAGTGGTCTAAATGCCATTTTCAGCTTCTACAAAAACAAGTTACACAAAAAAAAATACCAGAAGAGCTGGAAAGTCCTGGAGAATTTCTTTACCAAAATACTCTACATATACCAATAAGGGCTCAAGCAGACTAACGTCAGCAAGGGTTAAACTGTTGCCAACTAGGTGACCAGTTCCATTGTTTGCAGCAATCTGAGGAACAAAAAAGGGACTATTTATTATCTTTAGTATGCAATTAAAATTAAATGTAATAATCAAAGTTTTTGTGATTATAAAAATGACAAATGCATAAGAGCACTAAAATAATAAGATGTAGTAATAATATTCTTTTCCCTTGCATTAACAAAAACCTCATCAATTTATCAATTATGCTTTCAATGTCAGTGAAACTATGCAGGTTGTCAAAATTTTGAATAGTGTTGCTGTGTGGAATTTGTTAAAGTCTTCTCAATAATTGGGATATTTATAATGTGTTTAGACTAACTAAGAGCAATAAAAATATTTTTTCAACTTTGTATGAACAAGTTTTAAACTTTGTCTTTCTTCTTTGGAATCATGGTACAACAAAGATTAAACATTTTAAAAAAATCATAACTATAATTATAATGAAATTACATATTCTCTATACAATAGCATGACTTATAATTATCTTAATGTTTTCAATACCTTGTTGAAAATGGGTAAAAATTTTGGCAGAGTTTTTGTTTTTATGGTAGCAAGAACTTCCTCCTCTGGTGAAAATCCTATTGCCAATGATGGTGACATGAAATCTCGACTACCCTCATAGTACTGATCAACGCTGAGGCATAAATAGTTCATGAACGTATGTTTAGCAGGCTAAGCACTTAACATTAAATGTTAGTTGGTGTCATAATCATTCTTTATAAAATATTTTCCAACGACCACTTAAACCAAAAAACCCTCACTAACAGTCATATATATACTGGTATATAAATAATGCTAATATTTTCTAATTAAATTGTTTAAAACTGATTTTAAAAATACTTTTATTATACATTCCTAAATTTAACAGTTTAAATATTATTATTTTAATAATAGATAATCCATAAAAGAAATCATTGATTTAAAAAATACTTAAGTTACAAAAAAATTAGTTACTGGTAGTAGAAAAAATATCTATCCATCCCAGTGGCATTACAGCCCGTGTAGGACTTTGGCCTGCTTCACCACTTACTTCCATCATTCAGACCTAACTGATGCTTTACTTTTTAATGCTTACATTCCCAACTGCTGTAGTTCTTTTTTCACATAGTCTATCCATCTAAGAATAGGTATGACTTTGAGCCGTTTTCCTGTGGGGTTTTGATGGTGCACATTCTTCACTCTTCTGTCATTCTTTTTAAGTATCCTGCCCAGTGCAGCCTGCCCTTTTTTATTTCTGCTACACTAGTGTGGGATCCTGGTATAGTCCATACAATTCCTGGTTTCTTTCATATTCTCCTTACATATTCATTCTTTGTTGGTCCATATATTTTCCGGAGATCTTTTATTTCACATGTGATTATTAGGTTTTTAAAAGCTTTTGTTAGGGTCCAAGTTACACTCACGTTACTACTGATCTAATCACAGTTTTATCTATAGTTTTATTTTTTGTTTCTTAACATTTTTAACTTTTGAGTATTTTGTGGAGAACTGAAGTATGCCCTGTTTCTGGCTGATATTCTTTTATTTCTGATAGAAAGTCAATACTTTTATTATTTAAGGATCCTAGATGTTAGAAATGATTTACTTTTTCAAAAGCATGGTTTCTAATTTTAATTGTTTCATCTGTCTGTTCTCTTAATCATAGTTATGTATTTTGTTTTTAGTTGTTAACTTCGAGCCCTACTTGTAGTGTCCTAAAAGTTCTATGTCATGGGCATATGCAAGATATTGAAGGGGTTGGCTGTAGAGAGTGCCCATTGGTTGTGAGTCTTGAATTTTTCTCAGAAAGTATCCTATCATTGTTTCTCTGGTGTCAATATGTATTTTTCTTATAACTCTCGCTAATGTTAGGTTAAATAGCATACAAGACAGTGAGTCTCATTGTCTTAGGCCTTATCTAATCTGAAATTCCCTTGAATGTTCACCCTGAACCATGATTTTGTTTTTTTGAGTTGTTTAATGTTAAATGTATCAGTCTTGTAAGATTATATGATATTCATAACATTTCTCTAATAGGGATCTGATCAGTTGTTGATCTGTGTTATAGCCTGTGTGTTAAACTAATTTGCTTCAATTTAGCGCAAAATATTCAGTCCACCTCTCAAGAACTTTACTTTTTTCCTTAATTAATTCTCCAGAAAAGAGATCCAGCATTCTTAAGATTTCTATTAATTTAATTGTTCATGATATTTCCTAATCTTAAACATTTAAAATGGAAGCCCTAATGGAAAGTTTAAACCCCGAAACAATACCTTTTAAACTATTTACACATCTTTGTTCTTGGATAAGAGAATGGCAAAGACAGAACAAGAGAAATATTACAAAAATACTGTTTTTGCACTTCCCTCACCACAAAAGAGTGCTCACCCTTGTTTTGGTCAGAAAATGGAAGAGGTTCAATAGAAGAGAAAATATGTGTTACATAAATGAGAGTAGAAAATATTTACCTGTTTTAAGGCAACACATCTTAATTGAATGAATATGAAACATCACTTACAGCAATGCTTCATCTTCATTAGTTCCCAGGAGTCCTGCCCTTTTTCCGAGATAGCGAACAATGGCATTCGCCTGCACAATGTGTTTACCATCAATCTCTAGGCATGGAAGCTGACCAAAATATAATTTTCCATCTGAAATAAAACTCACAATTAAATATCAGCCAAAGATTAATGTAACAATCCTTTCCAACTTTATTGATCAATATTTGAAAACTATTAGCAAAAAAATGAAATCATAGCTTAAGCTTTAAGAAATTCACAAATATAAAATATTGTCTTTCTTTTATAATGCAAACTTTATCAGGTAGATTCAAGTAAAAACAAAAAGTGAAGTGAAAAATATGGTAGACTATTGAGTGCAGATGGAGCTTTTTCAGAATATTATTGATATTGTCTCATGGGTTGATTTTTAATACTTTACGAATTGTGATGGAACATTTATTTAGCTTATAAGCTCTTCAAATTTTAATCAAGATTATTTATTGAGACATTATTTACAGAACTTCAACTCTGTCTCACTATTTTTGAAGCTATTTAACCCCAGTAATTGCACATTTAAAAAAAAAGTTGTCCAATTTTTCAAAATACCGGTAGCCTACATTATTCTTGTAGGTTTTGGTTTGCTGATTAAGTATTTCAAGGAAAATTGTAACTTTTGACTTTGGTGTTTTTAAATCAGGGTTACCTCCTCCCCAAGAACAGCTTCATCCCTTCACAGAAGCAGACAAAATTATCATGGCACCACCCGACCATAGACATTTACAAGAAAATAGATTTTGTTATCCAACTATTTAAATAAACTTTAATTTGAAATTCACCCACAAACAATTGCAGTTCAATAAATAATTTCTTGATTACAGTTACATACACTATAGTTTCGGCAATCCTCCGAAGTCCGGTCCCAAATTATTTCCAATGAATACTCCTTACTTAAAAGTCTTAGGCATAATTTTGTCTTGAAATTCATGTTTGCGGTAGTGGACGATGTTGGGTGGATGTTGTTTGCCGTCGAGATGCACAAACACTCGAGCGCATTATCACTAATCACGTGTTACCAGGAACAACTACCGTCACGGAGGACGCTTGGCGAAGATATCAGAATGTCGGTCAACTCAACAACGGGATTGATGCTCACGCAGTCATTGTGCACGCGCGTGAATTTGTTGACCCAGTAGACAGTAGACCAGGACATTGACACAGAAACTATTGAATGACTTTGGATGCAAGCGGAGCGTAAACTCCGCTATTAGAGTGGGACTAGTCGCGGTCTGTTTGCCAGCTACTTGGGGGGCCTTTCAGTGGCGCAACAATCACAAGCAGAACGTTTTTGGCTGCTATTTGCAAATGCTATGCACCAATTACAATATTTAGTATTTACTCAATGATTTGTAAACTGGCAGTTATTTGCAAAAACTATGACTGATATTTCTGCTGCTTTTTAAAAATACACACTGTGCATTGCAATTTTTTTACATACGAAATAATTTGGGACCGGAATTCGGAGGATTGTCATAGTTTCTATCCTTAGGCTTCAGGGCTTACCATTGATCAACTTAAGAAACTCTTCACGATCAGTTATAAGTTCCTCTGAAAACTGAAAAGACAAAATGGAATTTTATATAGAGAAATTTGGCCTCATTAAAGTTAAAAAAAATAAAATTGTTTGATGTTATAGAAATAAATAGAAGCTTAGCTCAAGTAGAGAGAAAAAATGTAAATATATCATTCATATGTAGGCAGGCTATTCTGACAATCATTACAAATAACAAGGTGAATAATTAGTTTACACCTAAGGAGTATAGAAATGCTATTGTAGGCAAGTCAGAATATAATTATAATTTTTTATGGACAAATATTTAAAATAAACTTAGCCCTGTAAGTGTAAATTACTACCAGGCCTAAGGATAACTCCTTTAGCTTTAAATTTTAAGAATCTTCTTCAATCATTTTCACAAAATCCAAGTGATTTAATGTCACTGACAACGTTTGTTCACGCTATTATCATGAGGAGCATTGTAATTAAGAGAAATACAATGTCACTAGTGCAAAGCAAAGGATTGCATAAAAAATAAAAAAGTTCATTAAAAACAATGGTCTACAGTGATTTTGCTACTGATAGTTAAACGTGTGAGTTATATGGACTTTAACAATCTGGTTCAAAATATGAAGTTAGAATATGCCTAGCATGAAGAGATTTTAAGTTATGCACGCATTCAAGAAATTTAAATAAATTATAAACTAGAAATTGATATCTGTTTTTGTACTAATGTAAATAGTATCTTGCAGAAAATAAGTTGCGAATATGTTCCTGATCAGTGGAGGTTGTTCTTAGATTCCAGCAAGGTGGGCTTGAAAGCTTTGTTGTTGCACAATGGTACCGGTAACATATAATCATATGTTCCTAAAGCTCATGCAGTAAGCCTCAAGAGACATATGAATGAAACTCATTTTGAAAGTGATCAACTGATCAGAATACAACTGGAACATGTGTTGACCTGAAAGTGGTAGCACTTCATAATCTAAGACTACAGCTGGGGTACACAAATCATATGTGATTTTTGCTTGTGGAACAGTAGTGGTGACTGTAACAATTTCAAAGTGAAATAGTGGCCTCTAGATCTCAGCACAATGTTGGTCGGCGCAACTTACAACATGAATCAAAGGTTGATCAATAGAAAATGTACTTCATATTTAACTGGAAATTGTGAAAAATTGTGTAACAGCAATAGAAATTAATTATTTTTTTCCAGAATCTCAAAGGTTTTTAGAACCAAGCTGAAACCACTTGAACTTGCCGCTTAGGATGCATGTACATTGGGGGTGCAACTTTCTTGTGAATCACCGAGCTCAGAACTACAAGCAACTCAACTGCCTGATGTTACTAAAATATATTTCTTACATTCTCATTAGGATTTTTTACAACAAAACTTGGTTGATGAAAGGTATAAGCATGTAATCATGTAGAGACTTTATCAAGACTTCTTCAGCTTGGGAAACAAGGTATCAAGGCCACTGCCATTCCAACATGAGGGGTTATTACTGCTGTTTTCTATAGCAGGCAACAACGGCTACTCTCAAGTGCAAAAGGAAGTGCCTACAGCAATTTTGAACTAGTATATAGTTGACAGAGAGATGAAATTTTGAAATGTATGCATTCATCTGAGTAAGATACATATATATTTATATTTCAAAACATCATATTCTTCTTTTTTCTAAAATGTTATTGTATTATTATTGTTTAATAGATTTTCACATGTTTTTTCAAGATTTGCTATTGACTTTTTTTTTAATTTAAAGAAACAAACATAAAATTTTATATTGGAAATAGGTTAAACTTTTATTTCAAGTTTTAAAAGAATGCCACTTTGTTCTGCTGTTATGACTACTCTGAATGGACTATAGTCGCAGTTATAAGCAAATACTAGTTCTGTAATTTGCATAATATACAATTTTCTTTGTTTTGTTTCAAATTAAAATGTTATTTAAAAGTTATTTCATTATTTAACAGATTTTAAAATTAAAATACTGTAGATCTAGTTTTGTTAGACTAAAATAGGGGTGTCAAACTCAATTTCTCGGCGGGTCAAAATACAAATCACATGTAAGGTTGCGGGCCGAACAGGATAAACATCCAATAAGCGGCAAATTAATATTTAAAAAAAACCAAAACATTTATATAAATGAAAAAATAAAAGTTTTAATAATTAAAAATTAATGGCAGACCCATTTTCGTTCTTATGTCAATTTGTCAGAGCGGGATGTTTGGCACATTTTCTTGACTACAAAAACAAGTAAGTTCGTTTCTGTTGGGAGTAACGCTCTGTGCCATTGAGATTCTCATGATGGACTGCAAGTGTGATGTTTTGTTAATCTTCATCACAGATAATAGCTGCTCACACATGTATGTGCTACACATATGCTCAATGTTCGAGCCACATGTAGATGAAACTGGGGCATCTCTTCAGGAATGAAACGAGTGAACTGTGCAGGCCCAGACCCAACTGTGTTGGCCCAGACCCAACTGTGTCGGCCCAGACCCAACTGTGTCGTACTTTGCCTTTAGTGTCCCATTACACTGCAGCTCTATTAGCTCCATCTGCAAATTTACAAGTGCAGTATTCACGTCTATGATGAATGGGTTACGAAACTGCTTGAAATTATATTTCTGTGCTTCAAAGGCCCTAAAGCACTGTGCAAACTTGGCATGAAATAAGCAAAATGTGCATTGGGAAACACTATAGCGTTGAATTGGATATATTTGTACGCTGGTCAAGACCTCGCGGGCCAGATATAATTGTACGGCGGGCCGGATGTGGGCCATGTGCCTTAAGTTTGACACATGCGGACTAAAGCAACCATCTGCTAATTTAGGGAATCGGGTATCACCCTGAGTTTCTGTGTATGAGTAAACTCCCCTTGTTTATTTGTGAATAGTTACCATTACTCACTAGGGTTTACGTTTTTTTAAAAGATATTAATTTGCTGATCACTGATGGAATGTTTTGATAGATGAATCTTTAAAATAAATGTTTTAAAGTGAGGTTAATTAACATTTGAAAGTGAAAGTAAGGTTATTGTAGAGAAATCATATTATTTTGTGTAAAATAAAGGATTTTGACTTAACTTACGTCTTTAGGGTTTTATTTTCGGTGGAACCTGTAATAAAGTCTAATTCAGTATAATTTATTATAAAGTAATAAAGTGTGTAAAAGTGTATTTGACAAAACTGAAAATTTGGGTTTCGTTAGTATGATTAATTTGAACATTAAAAAAAAAATATTTTTTTTTTGGGGGGGGGGATTATTTTTCAAGCTTTTTTATTATTGCTACAGTGAGTAACTGTACTAATACTGTGGCACACATACATGACTTAGCAGTGAGTAGATAGGCCTACTCTTGTCTTGATTTTTGAAGGAATGGAGCGACAGCTGGTCATTCATAAATAATAATGTCGAGGCAGCAGAGGGATACAAAAAATTTGCTAATTAACCCTATATTTACCCAATCATTAATTAAACAAATTGTACGAGATTTTAAAAAAGTACATAGTTACTTACATTTTCAATTTCATACTTATGACATTTATTTAATAAGTAGAAGTTGAACTTACTAACTTAACTAATCAATCACTTACTTGTATATCTGCAGCAGCCAGAGTAAGTCTTACTATCTCACCTCTTCCGCGACCATTAAAATAATATAGTTTTGCCATAACTTTATGTAGTATGTAGGCTCGGCCTAATGGTTCTGATTTCTGAAACGATTTCTAATATTCCCTATTTTAAATTTTAAAATCTGCTGCACAACAGCGGCACTACAGACAGTAACGATATTCCCCAGTGAAGATTTCAGGGGAGGTGACTATAAAAATTCATGTCACAGGACTGCAGAGTGGGCGCTCCGCAAACGGAAATAATATTCCTTTTTCATTTTCCTTATCATGTCAGTAAATCCAAACTTTTCATGATGCTGACACCTCTGTCAGACAAACAGTATTTAACGATAGTAATTTAATGTTACCAGTAGCCTATGCCCGACATTTAACGAATCCATTTTAAGACATACTGGTACGGAGAATTTATACGAATACAAAATATTACGTTTAATAAAATGTATGTTGGCACAACAGACTCAGCACCGAGCTCGTTAACACCTTCCATAATATTAATAGCAAATATAGGCTATATATACTAATATAGCGGTCTACGTGGTTTAATTGATTTAATTAAATACATTTCCAATATTTTTTGGGCTTTTAAATTAAGGATACTAATATTAATGGGAAAATACAAATGAAAAATATTGAAAACTTTGATCTGGCCTAATAAAGACTTTTAAAATAAACGTACACAAATCAGTATTTACGACAAACCACTGACACTGACATCTTCTATGACACTGCATTTGGATTAATCTAATTACATTTTAATACGTAAATAACGAATTATCGTCGTTACAAATATTCTTTATTTCCAGTTTTATTTTATCAGACATATCTTGAATACGTGTTCCAATTTTGTTATGTGCCACACGGTATTTTATTTAGGGATGTGAAATAGGCTTTCTTTCCTTCCATTTTTTCCAAGCTGAGCTCCGCTCCTGAAAAAATGTTTGTTGGCTCCAGCCCCGCTGGTGTTTTGAGGTAAAATGACGGCTTGGTCTTCAAATTATCCTTATTTTATTTTCAATGTTTAAGTTTATCTCCACAACTAAACACTTGGGACAAGGATTGTTTACACAAAACGAAAATGTGATTCTATATGTGAATATTTTTGTTTACTGCACAATCGAGCTTTGAAACTTGTCCTTTTCATTTCTTAATTAGGAACGTACCGAAAATATGATTTTAAAAAAATTCCAGTTTAAATAAACTGCAAATTAAAAGACAAAGTGCGTTTCAACAATATCTAAACACCAAATTCTTTGAACCAGTTCTCCATCAGCAATATTTATATCAGAATAATCCCGCGGTGCGCTTCCAGAGAAGTTGTGTAAAGCGATGCCAAGTACAAAATAAAAAAAAAAAAATAAGATAACTGGTTGTAGCTCGCCAAACATGGGCGCCCGTTTTTTTTTTTTAGTTTTAGTGTTCAAAATTGTTTTAGTAATGTTTTAATATAGTTTTAATTTACTGTAGCGTATTTGTATGGTGAACGAACGGACAGGACATCAGCTTAGTTACTTACTCTTTATTTTCTCTTTAATTTAATAATTTTTTTGTCTATTTTTGTCTAAAAAATTTTTATCCAATCAATCCAGGGGAGGGGCAAGTGCCCCCCCCCCCTTGCCCCTACCTGCGGGCGCCCATACATTGGCGACAGCAATGCGTGAACTTCCCATTCACTAAAGCTACTTGACAAAACATGAACTCAAGTAAGTAACGCACATTTAAGAATCACAAATTTCTGCTACACCCTTACCCCCATGATACGTCCCTTAACGTCACTGCACACTTTTATTTCACGCCCAAGAACTATATTAATATTCTTATGTCCCAACCACTTTTAAACCAAATATTTATTACACCATATTTAAAGTGAGATGATTTCATTTTCCGAAAAGAAAATGGATCTGGCGCTTCGATTTTGACGAGTCGTGTCAGGGATATGAAATTGAGAGTGCGGGCAAGTGCACAATTTTATGAAAGTGAAGCCAAGGCTATCTATTTAATATGTATTCGCCAAGGATTGCGGGAGTCCAGCGAGAGTCTCGAATAAAGTACAGGTACCCCATAAAGCCTTTTCCGCGGAAGGACAGCTAGAAGGGCGGTATACCAAATTACGCAGACGCGTTCGTTCTCTATTGTTGGACTATCTCACCAACATCAGACTATTTAATTATGCTGATTAAATTTTAATTCCAGAATGCTAGGAATTTTACTTATTTCTTTCAGCTGTCAATACATTTAATTAGCCTCATTGGTGAAATAAAGGGTTAAGAGATTTTTTTTAAAAATAAAAATATTCTGAACACTAATAACGTTACTTTGGAGATGGTGTCGGTGGGTCGTCGAGTTTGCACTCATAATACCCCCCCCGGCACTCCCCCAAACGGGCCAGGGCCGAAGCCCCAGACCGTGCGGAAGTGCACCGGGAACTTCCCTCCTGGCCTGAGGGACGTCCGGCAGACCGAGGGCGCTGCGTTTAAAGCGTCCGTAGTCCACTCTCCTATGGGTCAGGACGGCTTTACTTCCTCTCCGGAGAGGTGGTGTTGCGTTACCACTCCCCACCGCCCAGGGAGCTGTCCGGTCGGGACGTAGCGGGCACGAAACGTTCGCCTAGGGGCGGCTTTCTCAGGGCCGCGTCTTTTTAATCATTGACAAGGGTTTCGGCGGCCACCCATTGCCTCATACCCATCAACGGCAACAATTAATCATGTTAGCGCTCAACTTCCGTTGCGTTGGAAGTCATGCGTTTTGCCTGTGATCTTTTAGCTTCAGAAGGAAAACTCCCCCCTACTAGTCGGGCACGTCACGAAGAGGCAAGATCCCGTGTAACACCACCGAGAGGCTTGTGGTGCTGAGCATTGACCTCACAGAGCTCGGTCTTTGCCCGCCCGTATTCTGAACACTAAAAGATTCGATTGATCATTCTACCTCAAATAGTTATCTAAAACGTATTTACTTTTTTTTCCCTGGAAATTGTAAAAGCACGGGATAAAGATTTTGTAAATGTTCAACATGTGAATTTGGATTTTGTACAGGATATGATTTTTGATGAAATACCACACGATGCTTCTTATAGAGTCCAAACTGTAGATTTTGTTAATGAAAATGTGATTTTGCACAGGATTTTTTTTTGATGGAGTACTTGATGATACTTGTGATACTGTACACACTGCGGATTTTGATAATGCACAGGATGAGGTCTGTGCTATTGAACAACAGAGATACTTTGATATGGCACAAGAGAGATGCTTTGATAATGTACCAGAGGGTTCTTTTGCTTTCGTACAACAGGGAGAGTTTGCGTTTATGCAGCAGAGTTTTGTAGAGGAAGATGATTTGTGTATTGCACGAGATTTTGTAAGTGTTAGGATATGTATGATGACTAGTTTTAAAAATCTTTCAGGTAATGATGCCTGTCAGTTATGATCTTATTTCGGAATAACGCAAATTGAGAAATCTAATCAGAAACTGTTATTTGATAGAAATGTTACTATACAGTGGTTCTTGACCAGTGGTGCCAATACCCAACTTGGTTTGCGGAAAGACCAGGAAAATCAGGTTTTTTATTTTATTTATTTGCAGATGTTTTAAAGGGATTTTAAAGAAGCATTACTTGTAATGGCTGCATTTTTTCCCAGTAAGTCACATACGGTAAACTACCATAACTGAATTATTTCATATTTATTTATTTTATCTCAATACGTTTTCTCAGACGTAGACAAATGAAGCCCCAATAGTGTCCAACGATAATTGGAAAATAAAGCAACAACTAGCTATTGAATTCTATGTTTCAAAAATTTCTGTATAATGTATTTTTAAGTAATATTTCGTTTTAACTCATAATCGAAATGCCAATAAACAACACTTCATTTTGAATAGCGCTTTTTATTTGTCAAGATTTATTGACAGGCAGCTGCGTATATGAAAATTAAGGATTTATAAAAATATAATTGAAAGTATTATCCTGGATCAACTATTTAATATTAATAATATTCAACACAATTGTCAAACTTTGGAGTTTAAGTTCCTTCCTCATTCACTTCCTCTCTCATTCACTTCCTCTCTCATTCACTTCCTCTCTCATTCATTTCCTCTCTCACTCACTCTCTTTCTCATTCACTTTCTTTCTCACTCACTCTCTTTCTCATTCACTTTCTTTCTCACTCACTCTCTTTCTCATTCACGTCCTCTCTCACTCACTCTCTTTCTCATTCACTTTCTTTCTCACTCACATCCTCTCTCATTCACGTCCCCTCTCATTCAATTCCTTTCTCATTCACTTCATTTCTCATTCAATTCATTTCTCATTCACTTCATTTCTCATTTAATTCATTTCTCATTCACTTCATTTCTTATTCACTTCCTCTCTCATTCAACTCCTTTCTCATTCACGGTAATCATTACACTCCCACCCACCACGTTCTTAACCCACGCGCTCACTGCTTTCATTACACTCCCTCCCCATTTTGACATTTTCGTTCGCGCATTTCTTAAAGTTCTCAGCAGAGCTATTATATTTGTCCAGCACAATATCATGGCTTTCCTTTAAGGCTTTCTCGAATGCATACATCACGTGATTCAGCTTGGTGTGTCCGAGAGTGTAGTCTCGAATCTAAAGATAAGGGAGAAGAGTTGGATCAATTTAACAAAATACTATGAATAAATAAATATATTTCATTTTAAAAAAACAACATCTGCAGTGTCAATGAATTGTAAGCTCCACTTTTCTGATAAACCTTATTGGGTTACAGACTCATTTACTTTGAGATGTTGTGAGTTGTAACTCAAGTAAATAACTATAAAAAAAATTATTAAAAAAACCCCAGTCTCAAAACCGTTATCACCTGCCCACCGGTACCACATGGTATTTCTGAAAATGTTACACCGATCCCCATCTCCTTATTTCAAACACAATGTGCTAACTTATAAATTGTTAATGTTACAGCTTCCGGGTATTTATACATTCTCCTCAAAGAGCCGGATTAACAGCCCCTCCCACAAAAAAATGTAAGGGGAAAAAAACCTTCAATAGTTGCACCATGGTTAATGTAGCACTACTGCCTCTTCATCCCCATGTCCCGACCCGACATTTTATTTACATTTTGTGTCCGTACACGTGACTAATTTGGTTCGATACTTAAAATTTTCATTTCGTTGTCAATGACAACATATCGTCATAAATCAAAATGCATGTCAATAAATGAATTAATTGAATAAGCCTATGGTTTCTTAATTCATTAAAAAAAAAGAAATGTTACCACTCTATTTGTTTATTTCACAATATCTTTTACCAGTACTATCTTTGCTTACGTCTTATTATGATGTTTTGTTATCTAAATTATATAAAAACTAAAATTATTTTGTTTGGTAAAAAGAGAAAATCCGGGCAACCATGACTAAGAAATCAAAGAAAAGGAAGTGGCTAGACTGACAAATCTGGAAAAGAACACTGGGGTCACGCTTGACCACCAGCTTAACCAACATCTTCAAGATCTGATTAATCTTTGGCATCATCTGCTTCGAAGACCAAGCCTCATTCTTGTGAGTCTTGGTACCAGCATACCTTAGGTTTCTGTGTCTCATTTATTATTGGGGTCAGATGCCTTCCGATCAATTTTTCTAAAGTTTTCTTTCACGGAATGCCAGGCGTGACATTTCATCATTCATAGTTATGAAAAGAAACTTTTAGGGCCGGATCTATTGTTAAAAGTACTTGGCAACTATGTGATTTTGTCATCGCATCACATCTGTCAGTTTTATGCCCTGGCAAAACCTTCGATGTCAACGAAAGAGCTGTGCCAGCATCATGGGTGACTGGATTTGGACATGCTGATATGAGGAAGTTTAAAAAAAAATTAATTAATGTTCCTAACATTGACCAGAAGACATTCGACCAGCATGCTGCCACCCTCATAAATCGCCACCGACCTACAAGGATAAGATGATGGAGAACAAAACCACAAAGAGGTTGTAGACATTGACGTGTCATGTGGTCATCTCCAAATCTGGCAATGGCTGTGGTTATCGATCATAGAACCAGCCTTGCTGTTGACTTCAAACGCCTTTCAAATGTTTACAGAAAGTATTCAGGCCCTGGTAAGAAGACGCAGGAAGACAGTGAAGCAAAATATATGTCCTGAATGGAACGTCAGAAGCTATCATGTGAAGTCAACCACGCAAGGTCTAGCGGCAGCGTGGAGCTACAAGCCGCCGATGCAATACAGGTCAGTTCCGAAACATAGCTTACCATATCGTAGCATTGTGTCAGATGAGGGTACTAGTGCAATCAAGTCGATACACAATGCCAATCGATATCAGGGCTGCTTGGTCGTGGGAAAGCATAAATGCTTAAACTATGATTCGAAACGACTTGCAAATACTATAAACACACACAAAAACAACAATAACAAAAAAAAAAAGTAATTTTCGTGTGACCCCAACTTTATGTCATTTGTAGTACCTCCAATAACTGTGATGCAATAAACTTCTGACTAGCACGAATACACCCAGCCGGGTGACTTTGGAACACAAGCTTATTCTGACTTATGACACTTTGACACCACATGGCATGAACGTCATGTCTCTATTCACAGCTTGAGCCTAGCTCCACGTCACGACCCACCACAGTGGACTAACTTCTCCTCTTTTCTTGCGTTCTTACCAATTTTATCTCTTACCCCCTTATTTTCTGTCACCATTCTTTTGGCGCCCTCTCGGACACTACTTCTCAGCTAAGTGCTATATATTTTTATTATATACATTATAAACAATTTTATTCTGTTTTTTTCTGTCGTTTGTTCGCCGTTGAAAGCTTCCCGCCGACACGTTCTTTGTTTTATTGCCTTCCTTTTTTCAGGTTTAACCTTATTTTGTTTCACTCATTTCCTAATAGGCTAACCTGATTGCAGTCTCTCCCCTTGTTATCCAATAAAGTTCTTACATTGCATTATCATTGTTATTTCTAGTGTGTACGCAAAATTGCATCATTATGATATTGAAAAACAAATTAGTTGTAATAATTTTTGCTTAACCGTCAAATTGGTATAAAATTATAACATTTATGCAGTAAAATTTAAAAAATAATAAAATACAAAAATAATCTCTTCCTTGTTTTGTGTGTCTATTTGTGTATTGTTCGTATGTACTAAGATTTTGTTTTCATAAATTAAGGAACATATAATATAATATATATTTTTTGACCCGTGTGCCTCCTTAATTATTCACGTCACTTTGATGTTTGGCTATTTCGATTGGTGAACGTTGTCCAAGGGAATCAATGAGCACCTTGAGGTGTTTCTTGGTGGACTCCATCAGCGAGAAGATGTCGGCCAGTGAATGACTCTCATACGGAATCTGGACGTGAACAAAGTCCATCTGGTCATGGAATAGCTGTGTAGACAAATTTAAAAAAAAATGTTTCTTTGTTAAGCTGTTTCACGATTCTTTCCAATAAATCTTTTCATTATCGATGGATTACGGTAATATCTAACGCTTTAAAAAAAAAAAAAAAAAAAAAAAATTAAAAAAAGATGTCTACAACACGTGGTGTTCCCAAGCGNTTAAAAATTTAAAAAAAAATGTTTTTTTTTTATGCTGTTTTACGATTCTTTCCAATAAATCTTTTTATTATCGATGGATTAAGGTAATATCAAACACTTTAAAAAAAAAAAAAAAAAAAAAATTACTAAAACATTCTATACTGGGTAGCAGAGTACATTATGAATTGAACTAGTTCACTATTATACTAATTAGGGTTACCGAAAATTTGTTTGAAAGAAATTTCGTTGACGGAAAATTGATTGACGGAAGTTTGGTCGAATTTTCTTTTCAGTTGACACGATCAAATTTTGCGTCACATTTCTCTTTGAAATATATCTGCTATACTATAGAGTAAGACAAAAGTATGCGTTCCGTCGTTCAATTTTCCGTCGATGAAATTTCTTTCAAACAAATTTCCGGATACGGTTTCTCCGAAGATCTCCGTAAGAATTATGTTCTAAAACTCCGTACTTAATACTTATTTTCATCCAAATTAAAATTTAAAGGGTAAAAAAAAAAAATATTGAAAGAATCAGAACTAAGGTTCCCCTAAATATTAATATGAAAAGGGAGGGGGGTGGGGGAACTTTTCTTCGTCAGAACTGATTTATTAGGCCCATAGTATAGACAGGGCTGTCACGTGAGTCTTGCAAATGTCATCTGATGCACGGGACTTCTGATATTCAAATGGACCCAGATTTGTGGTTCTGGGAAAAATTAAACTACCAATTTTGAATGCAAGGTGCACAAAGCTTAAAAGTGACAGTTAATCAGTTAATTTGGGGGGGGGGGGTTGCTCCAAAGGTCCTACTAAAGTGACTTCTGATATTCAAATGGACCCAGATTTGTGGTTCTGGGAAAAATTAAACTACCAATTTTGAATGCAAGGTGCACAAAGCTTAAAAGTGACAGTTAATCAGTTAATTTGGGGGGGGGGGTTGCTCCAAAGGTCATACTAAAGCTCGAATTATAGGTGGCGTACTGGGTGGCACACTTACATGTTTACTGTAAGACTTAAATCATTTGGAAACGCGTGTTATAATCCCCATCACTTTGAGAAGAAATCGTTCCCCCAATCAAATTAATTAAAATAAGTCCCACTTCCTGTCTCCATTTTTTTATGAACATAAATATGTCATTTAGATCAATGACCCACATTTACGAGCTGAGCCCACTAACAACATACCGCTGCATTGGCGAAACGCTGCCGCAGTGAGTCCACAAGGATTGACGTTGACACCGAATCGTTCAACGAATCGATCTTGGCCAACAGGGTGTAGCTGTTGCAGTAATACTTGCGGATGGCAGACGGTTGGCCTAAGCAGACGACCATTCCATTGACGATGAGCGCGACTCTGTTGGCAATGGAGGAGTACTCTTCAATGCTGAAATCAGTGATAAAATCAAATTAGCGGGTCGCAAACAAAAAAAAAACACAACAACAAACAAACAAAAAAACAAAAAAAAAAACAACAAAAAAAACAACAACAACACAGCACAATTAAAATTAGAAATGAAGAGACAAATGGTTAGAAGTAAATATTGGGTTTGAGGTCAGTATAATTTTTTTCACAAACAGGAATTTTTAGACACATATTTTATAGTCAAAATAAATAATCAGACCAAAATTTTGAGAAATTTACAACAAAATAAAATGTTGTAATTTGTAATAACGTGAGTTTTATAAAATGGGAGGGTCTTAAATGGCAGGGTCTTAAATGGTGAAAGAAAAATCAAATTAACGGGATTGGGGACGTCCCCGGAGAAAAGATACTTTAAAACAGGGGTGGCCAACCTTTTAAGGAGGTGGACCAAAGTTCAGAAATGATATTTCCTGCGGGCCACGCAACTAAGAAATAAGTATATTTATTTTTTTGAGGAAAATAAAATATAACTGAAAATCAAACATATTTAATAGACAATTTTAAAATATTGAAAAGTGAGACATCTGGCTTAGTTTTGCAGCATTAAGTGCATCAAAATTGATATCGACTGATGTTGTCGCTACACGCAAACAGTTTTCCAAATGAACATCATCAATTCGTGTTCTTTATGGTGATTTGATGAGCTTCATATGACCAAAAAGTTGTTCACACGCATAAGTCTTTCCCAATAGCGAAACCATCGACAGGGTAAGTTTGTGGAACGTAGGATATTTATAGCCCAAATATGTTTTATAGAACTCTTCCACACCGATTGGTGGAATTTTTCCTTTAATTGTCTATCACAACACATTTCACCATGTTCCATTTTGTAATCTTCCTGGTAATAAATTCACGTCTGCCGTGAATGACGTTGGAAATGCACAAAAAAGCACATGAAATCAGTTTTCAAATTCGAGGCTAAAGTCAAATATCAAAGAAGCGCATTTATTTGCAGCCTCCTTGTGTGACGTCTGGTTGCAATGACAATGTAGGGAAGTCAGTAAAGTTCTTTGTCCTCAACTGTTATTCCCAAAGACCAAATTTCATTTGAAATGCAGACATATGATGATATATCTTATTAATTAATAGATCTTTCCCTTGTAGACGAGTATTGACGTAATTTAGGTCGCTAGTTATATCGACCAGAAATGCAAAGTCGCCAACCCACTCTCTGTCTTCAAACTTGGAGATAGTTATTGAATTACTTGCAAATAATGAATATATTGCTTGCTTCAAATCAAACACTCTTTTCAAGATATTTGCTCGGGTCAGCCACCTTACTTTTGCATAAAATGTAACATCATTATAATCTGAGTCCAAAGACTTTAGAAATTGTCGGAACTGACGGTCATTCAACACGTTCGACTTAATGAAGATCATTATTTTGACAACCAATGCTAGAGTTGGTCAGTACCTGCCAAATCTGTGCTTTCGTCCAATGCTAGAGTTGGTCAGTACCTGCCATATCTGTGCTTTCATCCAATGCTAGAAATGGGCAGTACCTGCCATATCTGTACTTTCTTCCAATGCTAGACTTGGTCAGTACCTGTCTTATCTGTGCTTTCATCCAATGCTAGAGTTGGGCAGTATCTGCCATATATGTGCTTTCATCCAATGCTAGAGTTGGTCAGTACCTGCCATAACTGTGCTTTCATCGAATGCTAGAGTTGGTCAGTACCTGCCATAACTGTGCTTTCATCCAATGCTAGAGTTGGTCAGTATCTGCCACATCTGTTCTTTCATCCAATGCTAGAGTTGGTCAGTACCTGCCATATCTGTGCTTTCATCCAATGCTAGAGTTGGTCAGTACCTGCCATATCCGTGCTTTCATCCAATGCTAGAGCTTAAAATAGAAACTCGGATGCTCGACTTTTTAAAATTGTCTTCAATATGTTTTCCAATGTCGTCCACACGCCTAATATTAGTCCGACGATGCAGACTTACTATGAGAAATCCTTCTTTTCTGGACACAGAATTTCAACGACGCTCTCCAAACATTCTTCAACCATTTCACCATCTGAACATGACTTCGATTTTTTTGCTAGTATCATGGCTACTGCATAACTAACTTTTACATTGTAAGTTAATTCTGAAACTGCTCTAGTAAATATCTTTTGTTGTGCAGATTTTTAAAACAAAAAAAAAAAGGCATTTTAACTGGTCTTGTCGAAATTGCCCTTTGCACTTATCAAACTTATGTTGTATGTTTAGTTCTGTTAGTGCCGTTTGATGTTAATACTCTTTCAAAACCGAAACAGATTCGTTGCGTATCAACTCTTATATGATAATCATGTGGTTTAACGTCGATCCCAAAATCGCTTAAGACGCGGTGGCCGAAATAGAACGAAACTGCAGAATATAACAGAACTTTGTCAAGCTAGACTGAAAGTAGTTATGAGATAGCAATGCGACCTTCCCGAAGACCACACAACATATATATCAGAACCTGAAGTTTCGCAATTAAATTTTATCAACACTAACCTCGAGTGTCAAATAGAGAGGTATTTAAAATAGCTCAAAATCAATTAATTTTTAAAAAAATGCGAGGTATTTCAAATTTCTCTAAGCAATGATTAAAAAATATATGATACGAATGACTCATGATGTAATGCTCTTTTGGTATTATGTACAATAAAGTTAACATGTATGCTCATTTGACCATGCTCCTCGGGCCGCAACATGACTCCTGGTGGCCTAATGTTGGCAACCCCTGCTTTAAATTAAAAAAAAGAAAAAGATCCATGACAACGCACAAGTGAGTCAAAAGAAATTACTTATTTGATGTTATGACAACAGTTTTGCCCTGGCGAATCAGAGAAGATAGAATGCCTTTGAAGAACTCCATGCTCTTAGCGTCCATACCGGAAGAGGCGTCATCTAGGACGAGAATGTCTGGATTACCTATCATGGCCGTCGCCAAGCTCAGTCTTCGTTTTTCAGCTACTCTGTAAAGCAATGATTTAAAAAAAAAAAAGCTATGCATGGTACAGAACACATACGGCAGACACGTACGCATTGGAGAAGTTCTTTTAAAGTGTGACGCACAGACAGGAATGATTCACATTGCAGCAGGGAACCAGGGACTAACTTAGAATGCCCCCCCCCCCCCCCCCGGCTTTGAATCATTTTCAACTTCTACATATATATGAGGGCTATGGCTATGCAAAACTGAGGGATATACTGGGGGCTATGTAACATTGAGAGAGATAGTGGGGGTTACGCAACATTGAGAGATATACTGGGGGGGTATGCAACATTGAGAGATATTTTGGGGGGTATGCAACATTGAGAGATATACGGTGGGGCTGTGCAACATTGAGAGATATTCTGGGGGCGGGGGTATGCAACATTGAGAGAGAGAGAGAGAGAGAGAGAGAGAGAGAGAGTAGCGGACATAAATGACACCCATCCCTCTTAGACAGATACGTCATTCATTCAGCACGGTACCCATAGTTCTTGGTCGGTACGTTGGCCAGGTGGCGCAATCTGAAGGTCTTGAGGAACTCGTAGATGAGCAGCTTCATGTTCGCTTGGCGGATCCCCTTGAGAGTCGCGTAGAACCACAGCGTCTCTTTGCCTGTCATGAAGGAAAAGTTGGTGTCTTGGCGGGGACAGTATCCCAAGTTGGGGATAGGCTGGAGATCGGGATGCGTGGGGATGGAAAAGTCATTTATCACAACAAATGTAGCTTTAATATCTAAGTATATACGCAGGCTGTAAATTCCATAAACACATGCGTATAGCGCAGCTCCCTATCAGACAGACATCCTACTTCCACAAAGTTCCTTTCAAGACTGCCAGACGAATAAAACGAACGTCACAAAACAGACTAGACAATGCGTCATAATGCGCATAAAAATACGTCACCAAGTCAAGCGCGGGAAGAGCGTTCACTAACTAATTAATCTCTCACACACTCACCGCGCCTAATGAAACATAATATTCAGTCGCAAGGTAATAAGGGGAGAGCCTGCAATCAGGTTAGCACAATATAAAATGAGTCAAACAGAGTAGGGTTAAACCTGAAAAAAGAAACGTAACAAAACAACGAACGTGTCGGCAGAAAGCCTTCTCTGTGTCTCGGATGGGAAAAATCAGCGTAGTGTTCGTGGAATATGTGGCAAAAGTAACCGGGGTGGGGGGGGTGGGGGTTATTGTGAACGTATCAGAGGACAAGGATTTGTTCCAGATAATCGAGTCAGATCTAATCGTCACAACTGGACACAGCAGTGGCCGCAAGAAACACGATCAACTTTCTTCATCGGGAGAATCGAACCAGACATGTGGCCCCCCAAACAGCCTGGACCTAAACTCAGCAGTAGATGTTTTTTGGGGGGTGACCTCAAACAGAAATGTCTACCTTCGTGGTAAATCTTAACAAAAGACGTATTAAAGTCGGCAATTTTTCAAGAGTGGCAGAATTGTATTAAGGGTTTATTAACAGGAACATTGGCCATTGGAGCAGCCGTTCAGAATTATTTTTTTTTTGAGAACCGAAAAAACGTTTTAGAAGTTAAAAGTAGCCACAAAAAAAAAGTATTTGAATTTATACAAGGTGAAGCCACTTTTAATGCGCCATCCTGTATAAGTTAGGAAACCGACTCGATTGAGCTCTCTAGCATGTGCAGTTTTCCATTGGATGTCCCCCTTCCATGAGAGTGAGACCCGGTTCGCCCTCCCCCCCCCCCCCCCCTTTTTAATGGGCCATCCTTTATAAGTTAGGAAACCGACTCGATTGAGCTCTCTAGCATGTGCAGTTTTCCATTGGATGTCCCCCTTCCATGAGAGTGAGACCCGGTGCGACCCCCCCCCCCCCGCCCCGTAACTGACAAGGGTCACCACTGCTATAAAATACGATGAATCTCTAATTGATTGAAATTTAATTTTAAAAAAGCTACTTATGTAAGGCTTCGTACTTTTATCAAGGTTATTATTATAAATAAAATATGCTCCTCACCCCACGACCCAAAAAAAAAATTTGGGTGATGGGCGGGGAACCACACAGCTCTCAGCATCGATAAGATGGATCAAATCACTTGACTGATTCTTCTCCAACATCTCCTTTTAATCATTCCGGCATTTTCCAATCCCCCAAGAGCCGATAGTGTGTTTGTTCGCTTGAAGTGGCGGAGCCATGAGGTCTCTGAAGGATCATCGGTTTCCCGGTCAGCCGGCCCAACCTCTCCACGCAGCCGTAAGCCCGTGGGAACATCGACAGTACGATTGGGCCTGGCAACCAAAAAAGGCTGCGGCTATACTGACCCGGGTACCAGAAGTGAGAGGTTGGGTTTATTGAAAACTATTAAAAATACTATTATGGGGTTTGTGCGAATAGCATTTAGTCTAAAGGGACCCGGGTCCGAATAGCGGTGATGCGTGTCCGGGTCCATTTTGACTAAATGCTATTCGTAAGTCATTTGTGGTAGTTTATTTTAGTTTAAGTGAAGAATTAAGTTGACAAACATATGGTCCATTCAATAATCTTTCATTTGATACCAAATTTTATCTAACAAACTCAACAATAATATTTTAAAATTTTTTTAATCCAAACCTCTCACTTCTGGTAGCCGAGTCCGAGTAGCCACTTCGAACTAAAAAAACAAACAACAACAAAACCCCCCCCCCCCCAAAAAAAAAAAAAAAAACCAAACCCCCCCCCCCCCCCCAAAAAAAAAGGCGTCACAGGTGTTACTTAACCACGGTGTGTAGCTCACAATCCCTTCCATCACATGCCTTTATGCGACCTCCGTCAACTTACCATCACGAAGTGTTTATGAAGTGGGCGGTGGTCAAAGTTGATGACGCCGCTGTCGGGGAACTTTCTGCCGCACATCAGGTCCAGTATGAGTGACGTCGTGTTGGGGTCGGAGCACACCAGACAGAATAAATCCCCACGGTCGACACTGAAGTTCAAATTGGACAAACCAAAATTTTGCATCCTGAATTTGGACACGTTCTGGAACATGATGATCTCATCGGCTGGGCGGCATTCAGAAAAAAATAAATAATTGTAGTTGAACTTTTAAAAATTCATAACTCGACATATGTTGCGGCGGAGAATTTCCGTTCATGTAAAACAAATGCTTGCGTTGACCATATTGTCGTAAGTCTCATTTCCCTCTATTCAGTTGGATTCCATTGGCCAGTATTATTATTAGAGACCGATCGAATTTCGGCTTCGGTTTTGGCGCCAAAGGTTGCCATTCGATCACTTTCGACCTAGTTTCGGTTTCGGCCGAAACTGAAAAGTTAACTTTCGGTTTAATTTCGGTTACGACAGAAAGTGATTGAGACTTTCGTCCATCAGGCCGAAAGTGATTGAGGTTTTCGGTCATCTACCAGAAGTCAGACTGTCTGTCCGATACCAATCCGATAATCATTATTGCTCGACATCTTGCTGTCATCGAATGCTATATGATTCATACTCTGCGAAAACTGCTCACGGCTGTTAGATGAGTTACTTGTCCAATATTTCCAAAGAATTAATTTTCAATTAGGCCTACGCAAATGTTAACAGTTTTGTGGAAGAAAAACTAGTGGAAGAAAAACTAATGGAATGGTAACATTTATATCATTATTTTTGTTTTAACTATTACAAAAATAAAAATTTGGAACACTGAATAAATCCAATTCCTTCATATGTGATATTCATTTTGATTTATCATTATCATGCTCATCAGTGTTGTCATAGGCAAAGTTGAATAACATTGAATAATCCTAGGAATTGGTCATATTTCCATCATTGTTTTTTTTTGTTTTATTTTTCTGTTAAATTAAGGAAAATTAGGATTTTCAATTCATTCATTTGTTGAAATTCATCATGGTCATGCTCATAAACATTGTTATTGATGAAATAACACGCGTTTGCATGTATCACGGGGTTGAATCAGAATTATGTAGTAGCCCTTCTGCAAACTTGTTTACTTTTATGATTTTAACGAAAATTTACACGTCTTTTGCGATTCTTCGTCGAGACCAGTCAGAACAAAAATGTTAAAAGACTCGGTTAAAACGAATGGGGGTGACGGGATGTTGGTTGCCGAAAGAAATAATTACGTCATCAGTAGGGAAAGACTAGTGTGTTAGTGCTAGGCTAAATATCGATACGGGGTTGCCAGCTATTTATGAAAACACCAAGCATTTGTATGACGATAACTGCGAAACATTGTGATGATATTTTTATAGCCTTAATAAATGATATTTAGGTGACTATTGACTCTATTAGAGCCAAAATAATTATTGTAGGTATATTTTATAGGTTTTAATTATAGTATAGAAGCAGAGGGCACTCAGAGGTATATTTTATAGGTTTTAATTCTAGTATAGAAGCAAAGGGCACTCAGAGGTATATTTTATAGGTTTTAATTCTAGTATAGAAGCAGATGGCACTCAGAGGTATATTTTATAGGTTTTAATTCAAGTAGAGAAGCAAAGGGCACTCAGAGGTATATTTTATAGGTTTTAATTCTAGTAGAGAAGCAGAGGGCACTCAGAGGTATATTTTATAGGTTTTAATTCTAGTATAGAAGCAGAGGGCACTCAGAGGTATATTTTATAGGTTTTAATTCTAGTAGAGAAGCAAAGGGCACTCAGAGGTATATTTTATAGGTTTTAATTCTAGTATAGAAGCAGAGGGCACTCAGAGGTATATTTTATAGGTTTTAATTCTAGTAGAGAAGCAAAGGGCACTCAGAGGTATATTTTATAGGTTTTAATTCTAGTATAGAAGCAGAGGGCACTCCAGAGGTATATTTTATAGGTTTTAATTCTAGTATAGAAGCAGAGGGCACTCCAGAGGTATATTTTATAGGTTTTAATTCTAGTATAGAAGCAGAGGGCACTCCAGAGGTATATTTTATAGGTTTTAATTCTAGTATAGAAGCAGAGGGCACTCCAGAGGTATATTTTATAGGTTTTAATTCTAGTATAGAACTAGAGGGCACTCCAGAGGTATATTTTATAGGTTTTAATTCTAGTATAGAAGCAGAGGGCACTCCAGAGGTATATTTTATAGGTTTTAATTCTAGTATAGAAGCAAAGGGCACTCAGAGGTATATTTTATAGGTTTTAATTATAGTCTAGAAGCATAGGGCACTCAGAGGTCTATTTTTCATGACTTTTAGCACGCCTCCTCTCCCCTCCGGTCCAGATTTTCTCTTACCATAACACTTCAAACACATTTTAAAGAAATTTAAATTACCTTTAAATTAAAATGGTAAAAGCCAAAGTATTCACTTACCGATGTTTATTTATTGATATTCACGATGATCTCATTTTTTAATATAAAGAATGTAAATATTGATACTCTTCCCCCCATCGATGTATGTAGAATGTATGCATAAACGCATTTCAAAATATATTAATATTTTGGTTTCGGTTTCGGCTGAAAATCACTAACTTTAAGCTTTTAGTTTCGGCTTAGCATAACAAAGTCTTGCTAATGGACACACATATACATCTGGGAGTGTTGTTTTAAAGAAGTCCAGTTCCTGAACGAGTTGCAATGTGTGAGCGACAGGATCGACAAACATATTTTAAGCCTGTTTGTGAATCTCACTAATGGATGTCTCTGGCCGCACAAAATGACGTCACTGGTTGTGCAAACAGTGTTTCATATTTTTTGAGTGGGTAATACCAGGGGCGAAAGGAGGGATGGGTGGTCGGTTCACACCCAGGGGCGTAAGGAGGGGTGGGTGGTCGGTCCACACCCAGGGGCGTTAGGAGGGGTGGGTGGGTGGTGAGCACCCAGGGGCGTTAGGAGGGGTGGGTGGGTGGTGAGCACCCAGGGGCGAGAGGGGGGGGGGGGGGGGGGTGAGCACCCGGGGGCGAGAGGGGGGGTGGGGGGGGGGTGAGCACCTGGGTGGGTGGTGAGCACCCAGGGGCGTTAGGAGGGGTGGGTGGTGAGCACCCAGGGGCGTTAGGAGGGGTGGGTGGGTGGTGAGCACCCAGGGGCGTTAGGAGGGGTGGGTGGGTGGTCAGCACCTAGGGGCGTTAGGAGGGTTGGGTGGGTGGTCAGCACCCAGGAGCTAAGGAGGGGTGGGTGAGCGGTCAGCACCCAGGAGCTAAGGAGGGGTGAGTGGGCGGTCAGCACCCAGGAGCTAAGGAGGGGTTTGTGGGCGGTCCGCATCCGGGAGCTCCTTTTATCTTTTATTTAAGGGCTGCATTTTTGGTTCGCTGCGGAGTGATTTGTCGTGTAAGTGGATGGCAACAATCTTGGCCCACCCAACAACTCATTGTTACCAGACATTACAAACTTTTGTCTAACAATTCCTACTGTTGTCTTGCACTCAAGGCTGGCTCTATACATTTTTACGTAGGATGAAAATAGGCAATTGTCGCCCTCAGGAAAATTATAGGAAGAGTTAAGAATTGTGTTTGTTTTTTTATTTTTAAAAAATTTTGGCGCCTTGGCGCTAGTGTGATGATCACGCATCGTACCCGCCTTGAGCCGGCCCTCCTTGCACTATTCACTTTTATTTTGCACTACTCACTGCTATCTGACACTTCTCTCTGTTACCTTGCACGTCTCACTGCCATCAAACATTACTTACTGCTACCTTTCACAACCAACTCACTGTTATTTACTCTTCTCATTGTTATCTTACACTTTTCACTGTTATCTGCAATTCTCAATATTATCGTACACTTCTCACTGTTCTTTCACAAATCACTTCTATCTTGCACTACTCACTGATGTCTGACACTACTAACTTTCATTATACACTGCTCACTGTTATCGTACACTACTCATTGTTAACTTACACTACTCACTGTTATCTTGCACTACTCTGTCAAAGCCGAAGGGAAAACTATCTTTAACTGAAAGTTTAAAGCTGTTTTGAGTTTGAAAATGTATCAGAGACGGAGTGTTGGTTCCAGACGCCCCTTGTGTGACGTCGTGACGGCGCCTGCAAAAAATCTGCAATGCCCCGTATGTCACTTTGGCCCTGCCAATCAAAACAAGAATGCACGCGGATCGAGAAAAGAGCTGGTCAAAAGAGGGGGGGGGGATGGTGGACGTGTGTGTCATGTTCAATGGTGGACCTGCATGACATGTTCAATGGTGGACGTGCATGTCATGCTTTTGCACTGTTTTTCGTAAATTGACTAGTTTAACAAAGTCATAGTTTAAATAACCTAAGGAAGCTACAGAGGAGCTAAGCAGATATCAAGTGTAGCCTAGCACAATGTTACATTACTTTGATGTGAAAGAAGGTATCAAGTGAAGGAGGTCATCAAGTGAAGAAGGTCATCAAGTAAAGAAGATCATCAAGCGAAGGAGGTCATCAAGTGAAAGACGTCATCAAGTGAAGGAGATAATCAAGTGAAGCATGTCAACACGTGAATGAGGTCATCAAGTGAAGGAGGTCATCAAGTGAAGTAGGTCATCTAGTGAAGTAGGTCATCAAGTGAAGTAGGTCATCAAGTGAAGGAGGTCATCAAGTGAAGTAGGTCATCAAGTGAAGTATTTCATCAAGTGTATGAGGGTATCATATAAAGGAGGTCATCAAGTAAAGAGGGTCATCAACTGATGGAGGTCATCAAGTGAAGGAGGTCATCAAGGGTAGGACGTCATCATGTGAAAGAGGTCATCAAGTGAAGGAGGTCATCAAGAGAAGGAGGTCATCAAGTGAAGTAGGTCATCAAATGAAGAAGGTCATCATGTAAAGGAGGTCATCAAGTAAAGGAGGTCATCAAGTGATGGATGTCATCATGTAAAGGAGGTCAATAAGTAAAGGAGGTCATCACGTGATGGAGGTCATCAAGTGAAGGAGGTCATCAAGTGATGGAGGTCATCAAGTGAATGCTTTACCTACCACAAGACTTGAATGATCTGATCTATACCAACCACAAGACTTTATGATATGATCTATGCCTCCTACAAGACTATTATGATCTGATCTACACCTACCACACGACTGGCATGATCTGATCTACACCTACCACAAGACTGGCATGGTCTGATCTATACCTTCCACAAGACTGGCAATATATTATCAGTTCCTACCAAAAGGATTGTAAGATCCGGTATTCCAAAAGTGCCAGGATGATGAACCAGAAGACAGCGTGGCTCAGCATGGCAAACATGTAGAGCCCTATCCCAGGCAGCTTGACGCCGAGGTACGGATGTCCAAAAAACATGTTGCAGTTGAACTCCCCTTCGCATGCATCTGGGTCGGTTTAATAATAAAGAAAGTTATGCATTAAGTATTAAAATCCCTCCAATATAGAGGTAAAGGGAAGGCTTAAGTTTTAGTCTAAGCCAGCAGTTCTCAACCTGTGAGTCGCGATTCCTTCGTGGGTCGAACGACCTTTACACAGTGGTCGCTTAAGACCATCGGAAAATACATATTTATGAAGTCGCAACGACAATAATTTTATGACTTCAACAACTCTTATATGAGACGTGCAAATATAAAAAATACGTTTTTTAAAACTTCCAAAGGTACTTCCCTTACTGGCGCTCACTGCAAGTATTTTGTACATCTAAATTTGTATGATCATATTGCATTGGTTGTCTTGATGTACGGACAAACTAATGTTAAAATGGGTTGTGTTTTTTAACAGTCAATATCAAATATACATTAACCTTGGTAATGAGCTCAACATAAAACTACTCACATTATTTTCATGGGAGATCTACTCACATTATTTTCATGGGAGATCTACTCACATTATCTTTATGGGAGATCTACTCCCATTATTGTTATGTGAGATCTACTCCCATTATCTTTATGGGAGATCTACTCACACTATCGTTATAGGAGATCTACTCCCATTATCTTTATGGGAGATCTACTCACATTATCTTTATGGGAGATCTACTATCATTATCTTTATGGGAGATCTTCTAACATTATCTTTATGGGAGATCTACTCACATTATCTTTATGGGAGATCTACTCACATAATTTTTATGGGGGATCTATTCACATTATCTTTATGAGAGATCTACTCACATTATCTTTATGGGAGATCTACTCACATTATCTTTATGGGAGATCTACTCACATTATTTTAATGGGAGATCTACTCACATTATTTTCATGGGAGATCTACTCACATTATTTTCATGGGAGATCTACTCACATTATTTTCATGGGAGATCTACTCACATTATCTTTATGGGAGATCTACTCACATAATTTTTATGGGGGATCTATTCACATTATCTTTATGAGAGATCTACTCACATTATCTTTATGGGAGATCTACTCACATTATCTTTATGGGAGATCTACTCACATTATTTTAATGGGAGATCTACTCACATTATTTTCATGGGAGATCTACTCACATTATTTTCATGGGAGATCTACTCACATTATTTTCATGGGAGATCTACTCACATTATCTTTATGGGAGATCTACTCACATTATCTTTATGGGAGATCTACTCACATTATCTTTATGGGAGATCTACTCACATTACCCCCCTCCCCCGCCCTCAAATTGCTGTCCTCCCCGTTCCCAGGTTTAGTCTACGATAGACTTTGAGTGTTAAAATTAGTCTAGGATAGACTTTGAGTGTTACAATTAAGCTAGGATAGACTTTGTGTGTTGGAATTAGTCTAGGATAGACTTTGAGTGTTACAATTAGTCTAGGATAGACTTTGAGTGTTACAATTAGTCTACGATTTACTTTGATTGTTACAATTAGTAGGATAGACTTTGAGTGTTACAATTAGCCAAGGAGTTACTTAGAGTGTTTCAAGTTTCTCTAAAGAAAATTATTAATTAATGTCTCTCATTGTCAGTGTACTTAAGCTGAGAAACTGGTGTAAAAATTAGTTAAATTGCAACAGAAAAAAATCCAAACGCATTAGACCGAGGGGCCAAGACTCTCCGGCTTACCAGTACAGCAAATTGTCTCATACATGGAGTGTTGTGGACTTGGACAGTACTTAAAGTGGGCCTCACAAAACCTACGACCTCTGCAATAAACACGTCAAGAAATTTTTAAAATTTTTGTTTTGGAGCCAAGCATTTATTATTGTACTAATAACATACATATTCACTATGCTGCTTAAGCAACAGTACTGAAGCATCTTGAACGCGAATGTTGATTTTGACCACGTCCATCATTTGAACAGCTGTGGTACCCAAAACATACTGGATTTGTTCTTTTTGGTTTTGCTGGTCGAGCTGATTAGATTTATGTTAACTTTCTACCAGTAATAACAGAGTTTTAAAATGTTTTTTTTTTTTTTTTACTATGGATCGACCAGGGCTACCATTCAATTTTTTTTTAATTACCTAGATTTGGTCAAAACATTTCCCAAAATTTCCCAAGAACATAAAAATATATGAGAGTTTTTTTTTTTTTTTTAAGGATTTTGGGAATTTTTTTTTAAAAAATGAGTTTTGGTCCTGTATGGGGTAGTGAATTCCCAAAATCTTGGGAAATTTCCCAAGGTGTGTTTGCAGCCCTGTTACCATTCAATTTTTTTTTAATTACCTAGATTTGGTCAAAACATTTCCCAAAATTTCCCAAGAACATAAAAATATATGAGAGTTTTTTTTTTTTTTTTTAAGGATCTTGGGAATTTTTATTTAAAAAATGAGTTTTGGTCCTGTATGGGGTAGTGAATTCCCAAGATCTTGGGAAATTTCCCAAGGTGTGTTGGCAGCCCTGGGATCGACGAATGAATTTGAGGCACACTGGAAAAGCTGAAGCTGCCAATGGAGGGAGAAAGCGATGGTCTTGGTGGATATCTTCCTGGCGAGTCTGCTACAAGTCTTTACCAACCGTTTTAATCAAAGAAAAGGCGACAGAACAACTAGAATCATTTGTTTGGGTAACCGCTTGTATCGTCCAGCAACACGGCGCTGACTGACTTGCCGTTTTTTGTATATCCGACTAACATGTGGTTTTTGTATAAATAACTGACCTGCCTTTGGGTATACCTGACTGACCTGTGGTTTTGTATTGCTGCCTGACCCTTGGTTTTGTATACCTGACTCCCCGTATGGTTTTGTATACCGAACTAGCATGTGGTTTTGTAGACACAACTGACCTGTAGTTTTGTACACCTGAATGATCTTTCGTTTTTCGGTTCCAGACTGACCAATTGTTTCGCATAACCGAATGAACATGTGGTTTCCCACACCTCACTCACCTGTGGTTTTGTATGATGTTGCACAAAGAGTTGGGCATGAGGTGGCTGGGCAGCAGCAGTTGAATGGCCATGTAGGCGTCATTGTTGCAGATCAGGTTCAACTCGTTGTCAATAAACACCTCGGCCATGTTTCCCATCTCGGCTGAAAGGGAATGGCGATGATGACCAGTTGCACGTAGAGCACAGACACGTGACAGCGACACGTCTGAATTTGACTTAGGAGTAGGCCTATACAATAAACCAGCGTATCTCAAACCATAGAGCGTTACACCAGGTGATGCACCGAGAATTAGAAAACACAACAAAATGTATAGATGTCCCGGTGCATTACAAGGACCGAATTACGAAATATTTGTATACACATTTTTGTAGCGAGTGATTTGGATTAATGTTAAGGTTAGGGATAAGGTGTTGTGGGTGGTTCTTCGTAAAAAAGAGTCTGAAAATCGCGTCAATCAATCATTCATAAAGAAATCGATTATTTTCATATTTTTAGTGTCAATTTCGTACATGTCGGTACGCTAATAAATCCACCACGTGGGTAAATATTCATAGAAAACAAACATAACATTCTATACAGATAACAAATAACACAGTCGATTATTTAAATGTACCCTGTCGAAAATTTCTACCGCAAAAAATGAAAAAAAAACAACAACAAACAAAGAAGACAAAGAAGCCCCGCCCACCGTCTGTATCAGATTTCAGATATTAGCCACGCCCCTTGATGTCTGAGGCTCTGAGGTTAATACGAAATGCCTAAAGAGAATGCACGCCCATATTTTCTGTTGGTTTTTTTTTTGGACTGCTGACCACAGCACCGGCATTAGAGCGGTTTGTGCTATAGGCAAGAACAATAAGTGTCTCCCCGTGATCATAAATGTGATCATTCATCGATTTTTACTAGTTCTCAGTTTTCTAGGTAACCAAATTTTGAAGTATAATTCCTAATGATGAAAATATGTCACTATTAAACAAAAATAAATGAACAAGTAGCCAAATTTAATGGCGAATATCAGGGCGGAATGACCGAAGACGTTAAGGTCAGTGTTTGTGTTGGAAAAAATTATTTAAGAATTTTAATTTCTGAGGTAAAATATATAATTTTAACCTTCTGCAAATATTACTGCATTGACTTTCCTACAAACCGAACTTGAAAACTGTGTCCTTTCGTCCACCAGTTCTTAATGCTTAAAAAAAAAAAAATGATTTCATTGCGACTTTGAAAAGATGTTTCGTTCCACGTTTTATTTCGCTTAGTTGATTGTCACCGTCATACACGTTCAAACCCATCAGCAGACGAGACTCAAGGGGTCTCAATCTGTACTGCAACGAACCCTGGACAATGCTTAGATGGCTATGGGTCACCCATGCTGGTTGTGCGAAGAACACCAAAGTCCCCAATCCACCCATGAATCAAAGCTTAGAACATATCAGATGACAAACACAACATATTTTTTGTGTGGAAAAAGTCATAGTTACAGTGGAGGATTGATTATAGGCTTAATGACACTCTTTATTATCGAACTAACCCGAGTGTCAGCATAAAATCACATCATTCTATTAATAATGAAGGGTGCATACAAAACAACCCTCAAAACCTTTTCTTTTCGGTTGCAGAGCGCCGAAAATTCCGCCCTCAATAAAAAATAAATAAAATACAATAAAATAGAGAATAGTGGCGCCCGGGGGGTGGACCGACCGCACCCGCCTTCCTGTGCCAGTGCTGCTGAATCTTAATTTTCAAAGGTTCAAGCTAATGCATTCTTTGAAAACTTTAAAAAAATATGTATTTAAATTTTTTTTTTTTTTAATGTCATGTATCATAAGAAAATCCGTTTTACTCACGGCGAGATAATTCGTCTAAAAATCGATCATAAAATGAATGATAGCGGTAGACACAATCTGTTTAACCTCTTAATTTTTTTTTTCTAGAACAAGAATTGGATCGCTAATTTAATTGTCTAATTCTTTTTTTTTTCTGACCAGATCTTAACTGTATTTTTTTAAAATTATTATTTTTGTGCTGATGTTTCCGCCTCTTGAAAAAAGCCACTTTGGGGGAGAGGATAAATACACTATAACACCACACCCCCCAAAAAATAACACACACACACACACTTTTTAAAAATTAAACATACACCCGGATAAAATCCAAAGTTTGGGTGTGTCAAGGACATAAGAATCACTGTTTTATTTTTACCGTGAATGGTTGCTGTCGTGGGTGCGCGTACTTAATGATTTGGTAGTGATCATATTTGGTGCTGAGAGGAAGTGTGTAGCTGTTGCTATGTAGTTTGTATTCGTGTAGTTTTCCCGAGTATGAGGGATGACGTGTATGTTGTTGTGGCTTTAGTGTTGGATGAGTAGTGAATAAATCTTGGAGTGAACAAGGGACTAATAAAGTAAGCTAGAGTAGCACCAGAGATTACTAGCGATGAGCAGTGAATTAATATTGGAACGAACAAGGGACGAATAAAGTAAGCTATAGCAACAACAGAGACTACTCGAGATGAGCAGTGAATAAATCTTGGAGTGAACAAGGGGCGAATGAAGTAAGCTAGAGTAGCACCAGAGAATACTGGAGATGGCCAGCAATTCTGTTTGTGTCATTGAAGGTGTAAAGTGTTTTGTATATTTATATCTGACGAATGTTAACATTCAAGAATAACTTTTTTAACATTGTGTCTCTAGCATTTGTGTGATCGTTGCCGGAGGAGAATGACGCACACTAGTATACACAAATCAAGACCACGTTGCCTGCGATACTGGACGGGGGCTCAAACAGATATCCGAGTACTTTGTCAGGGTGAATTTGAGGAGATAATCAATACATTATACTCTACCCCCACCCACCACACACACTTTTTGCATTTCCAGAATGTCTGTGTTATTATTTATGGGCTTAAAAATGGTATCAAACTAGAATAGTTAAAAATGGTATCAACTAGGATAGTTAAAAATAATATCAACTAGGATAGTTAAAAATGGTATCAACTAGGATAGTTAAAAATGGTATCAACTAGGATAGTTAAAAATGGTATCAACTAGGATAGTTAAAAATGGTATCAAGTAGGATAGTTAAAAATGGTATCAACTAGGATAGTTAAAAATGGTATCAAGTAGGATAGTTAAAAATGGTATCAAGTAGGATAGTTAAAAATGGTATCAACTAGGATAGTTAAAACACCGATTTCCCTCTCTCCAAGAGCTAATAAATAACATACTTTCTTTGAAAAAACAACAGGTCAAAAGAACAATAATAATCATTGAACAAGAGAATTCATTGAGCAAGAGTAGTCATTAAACAAGAGTAATCATTGAACAATAATAATCATTGAACAAGAGTAATCATTGAGCAAGAGAATTCATTGAGCAAGAGTAGTCATTAAACAAGAGTAATCATTGAACAAGAGTAATCATTGAACAAGATAAATCATTGAACAAGAGTAATCATTGAACAGGAGTAATCATTCACTGAAAGACTTACACAAGATGTAATTCAGTAAAGTCATTACCACGACAGCCATGTGTGGAGATGTGAACAGCCTTTGTAGGACATACGTGAACGGCAGCATCATAACGCCATTGGCTAGCAGGACAATGGCGAACAACACTGGTGAACAGAAAAATGGTGAACAGCGTTGGTGAACAGGACAATGGCGAACAGCATTGATGAACAGAACAATGGTGAACAACGTGGGTGAACAGGACAATGGTGAACAGCATTGGTGAACAGGACAATGGTGAACAGCATTGGTGAACATGAAAATGGCGAACAGCACTGGTGAACAGAACAATGGCGAACAGCACTGGTGAACATGAACATGTCGAACAGCCCTGATGAACAGGACAATGGCGAACAGCACTGGGGAACAGAACACTGGCGAGCAGCACTTGTGAACATAACAATGGCGAACAGCACTGGTAAAGGACCAATGGCGAAAAGCACTGGTGAACAGAACAATGGTGAACAGCACTGGTGAACAGAACAATGGTGAACAGCACTGTTGAACAGAACAATGTCTAACAGCACTGGTGAACAGAACAATGACGAACAGCACGGGTGAACAGGACAATGACGAACAGCACTGGTGAACATGAAAATGTCGAACAGCACTGGTGAACAGAACAATGGCGAACAGCATTAGTGAACATGAAAATGGCGAACAGCACTGGTGAACAGAACAATGGCGAACAGCACTGGTGAACATGAAAATGTCGAACAGCACTGGTGAACATGAAAATGTCGAACAACACTGGTGAACAGAACACTGGCGAGCAGCACTTGTGAACAGAACAATGGCGAACAGCACTGGTGACGGAACAATGGCGAACAGCATTGGTGAACAGAACAATGTCTAACAGCACTGGTGAACAGAACAATGACGAACAGCACTGGTGAACAGAACAAGGGCGAACAGCACTGGTGAACAAAATAAAACGTAATTGAAAGCACTTCCCTCGTCACACTCTGACATTCTAAAACACTTTCCTTGTCACACTCTGACATTCTAAAACACTTTCCTTGTCACACTCTGACATTCTAAAACACTTTCCTTGTCACACTCTGACATTCTAAAACACTTTCCTTGTCACACTCTGACATTCTAAAACACTTTCCTTGTCACACTCTGACATTCTAAAACACTTTCCTTGTCACACTCTGACATTCTAAAACACTTTCCTTGTCACACTCTGACATTCTAAAACACTTTCCTTGTCACACTCTGACATTCTAAAACACTTTCCTTGTCACACTCTGACATTCTAAAACACTTTCCTTGTCACACTCTGACATTCTAAAACACTTTCCTTGTCACACTCTGACATTCTAAAACACTTCCCTCGTCACACTCTGACATTCTAAAACACTTCCCTCGTCACACTCTGACAATCTCAAACACTTTCCTTGTCACACTCTGACATTCTAAAACACTTTCCTTGTCACACTCTGACATTCTAAAACACTTTCATTGTCACACTCTGACATTCTAAAACACTTCCCTCGTCACACTCTGACATTCTAAAACACTTCCC